AAACTTAGTGTAATAATTTCTCATGCTGAGTGGTAGTAGATTTTTTCTTATTATTTGAGATTGATTTTTAGGTTGAGAAACTTTATTATCTTAAATTTAGCATCCTAAAAATGCTCAGGATTTACTTGAGGGAGTGAGGTAGATATGCTCATGGCTAAAACAGAAAGGGGAGTAACCAAACAACAGCTGACCACAAAAGAGCTCTAAATATGGATAAAAAGTAGGAGGCAAAATTACGGGGTAAAAATATGGATACATAAAAATTTAAGTGTCAGTTTGGATATACCCAAAATTGTAATATTTTTTAATAGCAATTCACAAATCTTGTGAAACAGATTTGAACCATTTGGACAACCTCAAGGTTTTATTAGATTTTTAGATTGAAATAAAAAATATTGTAGTGGCATAAGTTACTGTAATTGAATTTTTTTTTAGGAAAGTGCAGCTCTCTCACCTCGTACAAACATCAACCCATGACCCAACAACTTCGTGAAACTTCAGAAACCCCAAATCTACTATCTCTCTCTCATACAAAATATTTTCATTTTTTCTCTCTAAAAAACAAGAGAAGCTCAAGCCCCATTCATGGCAGCCCTAGGCGGCGTCTTTGTAAAGCCAAGACTATTTCTCTCTTTTCAAAAGACGAGTCTTTTCTCTCATACCACACCCTTGGGACTCCCATTCTCTTCATTAATAAGGAGAAGGTCGGGTTGAAAAATGTCAGAGAAGCTCAAGCCCCATCCATGCCAGCCCTAGGTAGCATATTTGTAAAGCCAATGCCCTTTCTCTCTAAGCGTCTTTGTAAAGCCAAGACCCTTTCTCTCTCTACAAAAGACAGACGAGTATTTTCTCTCATACCACACCCATAGGAAACCCCTTCTCTCCATGAATAAGGAAAAGCTCAAGTTACAAAAAAACTAGAGAAGCTCAAGCCCCATCCATGACAACCTTCGGCGATGTTTTTGTAAGGCGAAGTTTATTTCTCTCTCTACAAAAAGCAAGCTTTTCCTCTCATGCCACACCAATTGGAAACCCTTTCTCTTCATGAATAAGGAGAAGCTCGGGTTGCAAGTTTGCTTATTGTATGGAAGCAAATTTTTTACTGCTGCGAGAGACACATGAAAACCTTTTGTATCGACAAGAGAATTTTGGAAGGGTAGAATGCGACTTTGCTTTTAGTATGTTAACTCCATCCAAACAGTCCAACATAATAATAAAAAAAGATGGCAATGTTTCTTAATTGAAGATGATAAAACTTACCATTTTTTTAATATGAAGGTTTTTTGATCTGACATCCAAACTGACCCTAAAGTATCATTAATATTTCAGATTTGGCTCAAAAATACAAAATAAAAAAATTCGGATTTGAGAAAATATTATAAACTAAAGTTACAATCGGCAGTAGCTATGGACAACTAAGGCATCTATGAAATTAGGGTAGTATGGTAAAAATAATTAACGATAGAGTAAAACTAAATATTAGGGTTAATTTTTAAAAATAGGATTTTTAAGTTAATTTGATAAAGTCTACTTTTTTAAAAAAGTGTTTTTTTCTAGAAGTATGAGTCCTTTTATTTTTTGTAGGCCTATTTTACTTTCTTTTGCATGGTTTGTTTTTAGGAAGATTCATCTTCAAAGGGGCTTATCTCTTGTATTAGCTTGGGGGGTACAAAGTTGGTTCTATATCTTTGAGTTAAATGGATTTCAGTTTATAAAAGTTGGGTGAAAGGTTTTTTTCTCACACCAGGCATAATCTTTCTCCACACGTCAATACGGCACCCTACATGCACAAAAGATGGACCTCCATTTGGCAAAAGCTGTGTCAGATATTTGAGGCCATTATTTATAGCACAACTTTAGGAAGATCTTTCTATTAGAGAGGGAGAGGTTTCTCTCCCTAAAATATTATATTCATACCAAAATATAATGTCTTTTAAGGGGCGTAAGGAGGTTATTGTAGATCTGCTCCTGAGGGAGATTTCCTAGCCATCCATTGATGGACATTGATGGTAGAGATTTGATAAGATGGTACATATGATTAACATAACAAATATGTGCACATTATTTTGCTAAATGTTTAGGTGGTCACGGTGGACGGTATCACAATAGAACGTTTTTAGTTCTATTCTTAGTATGGGTAATGAACCATTTTCTAACTAAACTAAACAATGAAAACCTAGTGCTAGCCTACTTAGGCTTTGGCGTCCATTACGAGATGAATAGTAGATCTCCTTGGGAAATAAGGAGGATATGAACTATAAACATGGATCTCTCGCTCGCTCACGATATGTTTCTAATTTCCATCATTTGTGAAAACAAACTTTTTTATTTGGGTGAATTAGTAAAAATAAACTCTCTCTTTGACACACATTTATTCATGCACACAAATACATATGCACTCCAAAAGGAGCTGCATTTATTATAAGTACAATAGCCGACTTCAATTAATTGAAAAATAGACTCTGATGATGATAATGATAATATTTTTCTCTTACACACACATACACACAAACAAAATATCCACATTAATTACGAACACAAAGTTATTTCACTCTCTCTCTCTGAAGAAAGCCAAACTTCTCATGAATAAGAGACTAGCTGTCTCTTTAACGTCGCTTTAAGCTTGCTTTTTAGGAAAAAGTTTATATAAGGTTGCAACCTTAAAATGTAGAATTACGGATGCACCTCAAAACTCCATCATAAAATATTTTTTTAATGTTGAAAAAACATCTAATTGATCATCTCAACATCGAGATGTATGAATAAAAAAAGAAAAGACAAAAAAAAATTGAGTCCCAGAAATAATGCATCTTGCAATACATTATCTAGACGATCCACTTTAAATATTTTCATATATTTGTAGATCTACTTGATTTTAACCATTTTTTGAGTTTAAAATTTTATAATTCGATATGAACAATAGATTTTGAGATAATCCTAATAATCTTTTTCACTAAAATTACATAGATAAATAATTTTATAGGACCCTCTCTCACTCATGTGTGTAGGACCCCAAAGGATCACTATTAAATTTGGTACGGCTCGATAGAAAAGTTAAATTCCACATCCATGTGATAACTTTTCTAGAGATTTGTGCCAATTTGGTGATCCTTTGGGGTCCTACACATACCGGTGGGGGAGGGTCTTATATGATCATTACTCAATTACATATTACGATAAAGTGAAATGATCGTATAGGACCTTTTTCTACTCATGTATGTAAGATTTCAAAAGATCACCATTAAATTTGACACGGATCTATAGAAAAGTCAAATTCGTAATAAATTTTCTAGAGATCCATACCAATTTCAATAATGATCCTTTGGGACCCTCTACACATAGATGAAAAAATATCTATAGGATCATTACCATATGATAAATTTTGAAAGTGAGCCATAATTGAAACCTTGCTTTTATGGGTTCCCCTCTTACAAATAGACTCCATCCAATTCTGTCTCTCTAAATCTTATCTCTCCTCTCTCTAAAACTTATTTTTCTCTCTTTAAATCTTATCTCTCCTCTGTCTTTACTACAATGAGCTCTCTTTTACCAAAACCGTTAACATAATCCAGAAGACTACTTTAACGGCTGTGAGTCTCACTAAAAGGCGTTATCCTAAGAGCAATTAATCAATCAATCTTTGTCGATTTCTATGTAACTTCTCTCTCGCATAACGGCAAACTTAGGCACATACTTATCCATATTTTCTCTCTCCTCTTCCTCTCTCGACTTTTGAACTAAATGCTTAAAACCACTCTCTAAACTCTAACACAAGCAAAACTCACGTGCCATCCCTCTCTATCTCTCTCTTTTTTTGAATGTTATCGCTTTCTTTCTCTTCTACCCTGCTTACGCACTACAAAAATACTCTCTCTCTACCCTGCTTACACACTACAAAAATACTCTCTCTCTACCCTGCTTACACACTAC